CCTATGTAAGGTATTTAAGTATTATTTTGTATGTTAAATTGATGTAAGATTATATTATTAAAATTGCTCGAGAAATAATTTTAAAATGTATGTAAATTGTATAAGAAACACCTTTAAATTATAAAAATATATATATATATATATACATATATCATTTCGTTGATGAAATTGACAAAGATATTCAATGGTCTCTTAGAAGAATATGATTCCTTCCTACCAGATGTTTTTGTAATTCAAAGTTTGAACTAACAACAAGAATTTAGTTAATTTTGTAATTATTAATTTAAATTTTTTGATTGAGGAACAAACTTAAACTTCAAAACTTTTGTATTTCTTACTAATTAACTTCTTAACATGTCATTAAAAAAGTTTAAACTTTTATATTAAAGATATTAAATTTAAATAATAAAGAATTTAAAAAATAAAAAATTATTTTTTATTATATAATTTATTATTTATTTATTATATTTTTAAATTATTTTAATAAATAATTAAAAGTTTATTAAAATAAGTAAAGGATATATATATAGTCAAACCTGTATACATATATATTACAATGGACACAACCTGAACCCCCCAGCAACAACCCAAATTATTACACTCTTCTTTATCCTCCTAACACAGACAACTTGTGTTAATGATCACTAGTACACCATCAAGCAGCCTCCCATTCAGCCTTAATCAGTGACCACTTTACTAACCTTGACCACACAGATTTTTTTTTTTTTGATCAGCAAACCAAGATGAAAATTTATTAATTAGGAGTATAAGGAATACTCCCCAAACAATAATACAAGCCCACACAGAGATTCAAATACAATCACTTTACAGGCATTCAAAATAGGAGCAACACAACGACATTAGAAAGATGAACCCACATCTGCAACACCTGCCACACAGGAACCAACACGTGAACCATAAGCAGAGGAAGAAAAGTCATCCCATGTCTCGTTGCAACATTATTTTAGGCACTTTTAGATTCTTACGATGTTGAACCATAGCTGCCCTGCACTCCATTGGTCTAGAAACCTTGACCACACAGATTGATGCTGATATGACAACATAAGCTTTTTACAACAGAGTCTGAACAAAAGCATATACTGAATGGGAATTGTTAAACATCATCCGAACAATATGTTGATATGGTCTTAAAAAAAATTGTTGAT